CACATAATAGATTGTTTACTATCCAATCAGGGTTAAAAGATCCCGGGCAAGTTTGGGCCGGCCTATTGTTCCTATTGTAGTAGAGTGACGCTCATTAGTAAACCTATCCACTTCATTATATATGGAGGAAGACACTTAATTAGTATGGAGGAACCCATTTTTTCCCTAGGTTATCACAATAGATGACGTCATTGACTAGACCCATATGCCTATTAATTAAGGGAATCCACTTTCTGCGAGGGAATCCAAAGGGAATCCACCAACGGGGCTTATCTTTGCTGAAGCCCTACTACTGAAGTATTTTAAAAGCTTAAATTAAACTTAGATGTTGTAGTCACGATCGTGTTTTGAGCTAATTTTATGAACGAACAAACTCAAAACAACAGACAGAGAAGCCGTTTCTTGAAAATTTTTATTCAAAGTCCAAAAAGTTAATCCTTTAAAGCAATTCGGAAAACACTATCTGGATCGTGGATTCGCTCACGCAAGTGACATCGGCTAAGCACATGGTAAAATTCAACACAAAATCCATCTCAAATCAGGGCACATTTTGTAATTTTTCTTTAGCGCCGAAGAGAAAAATTTATAAAGTGTCTATGAAACATTTAAAAATACGTAAATTCCCTTTCAAAAACGTAGTTGTCTTGGCCATAGAGTGCAAAATGTACCTGAAAATTCAGCAAAAACTTCGCTGACTTGGTTGCATTTCAAAACAGACCATGGGCTCCGCCGTGAAGAAAACAAGGTTGAATTCCTCGAAGGACGATTTCTTGATGAAAAGCTTCCCTTTCTCCGCAAAAAGAAAGCTGAGCATTCTTTTGAACTTTCTCTTTCCTTTTTTTGTCTTTTAACGCTGTATTTTTAACCTTGAAATGCAGAACTCTTGTCTTAAAACATCTGCATGGTGATCGCGCAGCAGCCATTTTGTTGAAAATGGATATCCGTCAGTAAGGTTTCCAAATATGGTCAAAACGAATATTCACGAGCATTGAACGCGAGTTACACGTTTCAACCCCTTATGGGTTTCTCACAAGACCTTTAGATATAACAGGAGTATCAGTACCTGGAAATACTTTCAACTGGATAGTTGAAGACCTGGAATAGCCGACGTTGCAGACATAGCGACATTTGTACTCTCCTTTGTCTGCATCAGTAGCGTTAAAAATGGTGAGAATGAAATTTTTTTTGCATTTGGTGTTGGTTTTCCTTTCTTGTATATCATACTTTTCACCAGATTTTAATTTCACTGAGCTGTTGTTAAAATACCACTGTAAAGAATTGTCATCACAGGCGCTTGGGCTAACACCTACTCTGCACTTAAAGCTGACAATGAGGTAGGCTATCCTTGAAAGCTCGAGAGAAGTAATCTGCGGAGCTTTAGGCAAGGGACCTGTATTAGATGATAAGAAGATATGATGACCAAATATTATTTGAAAATTGTTCCCATTTTTTTGTGCAACCGTAGGGGGTAACATTCTTACTCTTACCCTCCCCTCCTGGGTATTTTGACAATATATGGGGCATCAAAACGCTTTGGAGTTTTTACGTGTTGATTTTGTTTATCCCACTGGTTCCCTCTTTTGCGACTTGTCTCGTCAGGCCTTCTTTAGAGACGCTCTAACGATCGGTTGATCGGATGAACCCCACTTCTCTTACCTCCCACCAATATGGCCTGTGCTAATAAAGGGTTGATTTCAATAGCCATTCGGCGTCTCGTTTTCTCTTTTTAACAACCACATAACACTTTACATTGGAATCTCGATATAACGAACAGCTGAACGAAGACCCAAAGGACTGGCGAAATATGCTCGCCATAAAGAGGTTTTGTTATATCGAGGTTCCTTTTATTTATTGTACAGTCAAACCCCGCTCCAGTCTGGAAACCCGCTCAATACACACATCTCATTGTTACGGACAGTTTGCTTTGTCCCTGAGGACAGAAAGTCCTTACATTTTCTACCCGCTTAATAAAGTCACTCCGTTAATACGGACTCTTTCTTAGTACGGCCCCTTCAGTGTCGGGATTTACGGGGTTTGACTGTACTATTTCTGGGGCGGAGAATATCGCTTATTATTAAAAATTGAATCATTGGATAATACAGTTCTAGTGCTCTGATTGGCTTAGCCATCATGGTATATGAGCCGTACGTTATACCATGCTCTTCAAATATGGTAACTGTACGCGTCTGCCAAAAATCGGTTGGTTTACAAATAAGTCGGGAAGAATTCTCGATATTTGGTGGGCGTTTTTAATAGAATAATTATTCCACTCGCGCTTGTTGGATATGACATGATTATAGCCAACTCGGTGCTACGCGCCTCGTTGGTTACCTACCATCTCATATCTAACGCACACTCGTGGAATAAGCGGAATAATTGTTAATTATACCGAAGACTTCGTTATATAGAGGTTCTACTGAATTTCAGGTGAGAACACTCCCCTCTCATTAATGACTGTCCTCTGCTTGATTCCTCAGGCAACATCATATGTGGCCGGCCGGGTTGAGTTTTGTTGCTTCATCCTTATTCCACCATTGCCACCAAAACAACACATCACTCCCACGTTAATCCCGCCAGCTGCGCGGGGTAAATTTGAGCCAGAATGGCAGACAAAGAACCACTTTGCGGATGAGATAGCGCCACTAAATCATTATTTATTTATTTACTTATTTACTTATCCCTTGTGACCCGAGGGGTAAACAAATAAAAATTCCAGCGTCTATTTAGTCTGAATGGAGGAGGAAGGTGACACGAAATTTTCAGTTACATTTTTTTTTAATTCAGTTAGCAATAAGTTAATCTGTTATTTGAAATATGAAACACCTAATATTTTATTCCGTCTAAATCAAGAGAGAATGAGCTGTCTCTCTTAGTCTTAATGGGATACTTTCCATTGCTTACAGGAGAAACATGGTATTATGTTTTTATGAACCTGCTGCCAAAGAGGTAGTTTTGCGCATCCGTAATATTAGAAATAAGAAATTAAATGACTCACAGCGATAATTCAGGTCAATATACCCTGATATTTTAGTCGACCAGCTGGTAATGTTGTTCATTCCAGTGCACTTATAAGCCCCTGCGTGTTTTTCTTGGATATCAGGATTACGGAGAAGGGAAGTTAAGGTATCCTCTCGATCCAGTTGCTCTGAGATGTAAAAACCTTCAGATCCGTTGATGATTTGTTTTTTGTCTGGATTGTACCAAAATACACGAGGACGAGGCCACCCCATGAAGGAACACTTCAGTTCCATTTCTCTCGTGTTAGGATAGTAGTCCACGGGAGAACTTGTCTTATCTTCTTTCTGAACTAGAACTGAGAAGGAATTCTTCGTCTTAATTTCAAAGTTCGTAAGTCATGCACCCAGTCATTTAAACTAGGGACCTTAATTAAATGACCAACTCGAAAGCCTAAGCTCCTTTGGCCACTGCCCACATTTCACCTTTGATCAGGATTTATGTAATTTGCTGGTTTCCTTCTTCTTGTTTTTGTAATATATTTGTAATTTTTATAGCAACCTCTTGAATTAGTGGAAAATAATATCAAAATCTGAAATGTTAAAATCTGAACCACCACGACGTAAACGTCAAGCACAATTGGTTTGAACATGAAAACAGCAGTTGCTGCACGTGCGTCAAGCTTCTTAGTACATTTCTTTGACGTTCACTCCAGGACTATGAAGTGAAACCTCCTAATCAAGGAATGCGACGTTTTATAGAGAAAGTGAACATACGACGACAATTCTCCTTTTTCTTTCTGCAAACTCGGTGCTACGCGCCTCGTTGGCTCCCTACCATCTCATATCCAACGCACACTGGTGGAATAATTGTTAATTATATCGAGGAGTTCGTTATATAGAGGTTCTACTGTATTTCAGGTGAGAACACTCCTCTCTCAATAATGACTGTCCTCTGCTTGATTCCTCAGGCAACTTCATATGTGGTCGGCCTGGTTTAGTTTTGTTGCTTCTTACCCTTATTCCGCCATCGCCGCCAAAAAAATACATCACTCCCACGTTAATCCCGCCAGCTGCGCGGGGTAAGTTTGAGCCAGAATGGCAGACAAAGAACCACCATGTGGATGAGCTAGCGCCACTAAATCGTTATTTATTTTATTTATTTACTTACTTATTTACTTATCCCTTGTGACCCGAGGGATAAACAAATAAAAATTCCAGCGTCCAATTGGTCTGAATGGAAAGAGAAAGGGGGGGCACGAAATTTTTGAGTTATATTGATTTCTTTTACGTTTAGCTGGGAATAACTTTATTACTTCGGCGGATCGCGAAGTAAAGGATTCGCGACGCTCAGGAATGTATCAAAGTTACCATTTTTTGACAAGATTGGGCATGCAACGTCTGTAGGTTTTCGGTTTTATTCGGCTATTTGACGAAGTGAGAGCCGAATTAGTTCGAGATATCTCGAGATCACTTTGATTTCTTTGATTTATTCTTTAACTTTTTCGAGGAAGAAAGAATTATTATATTGGCTTCCCCGGGGTTTGAACCGACTCACCTGTGTGACCCGTCAGATCAGAGGAGACTCTAAATTGACGGATTAGCCGACTGCGCTACTACGACCCAAGGTAGTTCGGGATATGAAAAATAGTTATGAAATTATGCACTAGTTTCGGGACAAGATTGGGCGTGCAAGTTCGCGACTTTTCGGCTTGTTCCGGCTATTTGACGAAATGAAACCGGAGTACTTTGTGATATCTTTAGATCACTTCGAGTTTAGTCTTTTAATTTACTCGAGGAATAAATAGAGGATATTACGTGGCCGCACAGAAACACGAAATTTCTCTTCGAGTGTTGAAAAACATTTCACGAGTGAGCCCTCCTTTCGAACTGCTTTATGATGAATTTAAAGTCACAAAATGCTGCACAAAGACATTTTGTCTTTGTTGAGTGTTACGTAGTAAAATTGCTTTCATGCATATTGCGTGACTTTCTCAAACGTTCTCTACTTTTTTGGATTATTCATGAATAATTAATTAGGGCATGTTTACATTTCAGCATGAGTCAGCAGATTTGCATCAGTTACTGAAATCATAAAATATGTCGAAAAGTTACTACTATTCGCCCGTTTAGTATTTTCTAGAACCTTATGTCAAACGGTATACAAGTTCCAAGCGAGGTCTTTTGACGAACTAAATTTTTTTTCCCACGAGCTGGACTGCTGTGTTTAGTCAAGTGTGACGAAGGCCGATTTTCAAGTTCTGTGTTTACAAGTTGGCGGAAGCCGTAAGATATCTGAAGTTCAAGTGAGAGTCTGTTATTATTGGTAGAGGCTGTTTAGTTGTACTTAAGTTCAAGTCAAGTTTGTGTTGGCGGATGCTGTGTTTTAAAGCTCTGAAAAGGCTATGTTCCTTTGGTATTAAACTTCCTTGTGTTAATCCGACATTCCTGTGTGTTAATAGTCAGTGAATAATTATATCCTCAAAGCATTCGAACTCGTAACAGCCAATTCCATGCTCAACGTAATTGACTCCTTACCCATGCCTTACATATCTTTAATGAGTACATGAGACTGCTATGCTGTTTTTGAAGCCTGATGTGACTAAGAAAAATAGAGAATTCTTTTTTCACTGTTCGTTTTTTGTTAGACTTGTTATTCACCACCAGTAACCTCATATTTGACTTAGGTCTAAACGTTTAGACCCAGGTCAAATTTAGAAGGATTTGAATGGGGTCATCAGAGCATAACTGGGCTAATATCTCAGAGACAATTTGTCCCGAAATGCTAGTTTTTGGCAAGTAGGCCTCTTGGATGTTGCCCTTTTCAGAATATCCTGACAAATGTCATAATTTCACAAATTAACACCTTACTCTTACCATATTTCATTTCTTACTATTCCACCGTATTTACAATTAATCAGTTCCACAACCACGACGCCGAAGTGTACGCTCCGTAGCGTCTTGTCTGTTATTTAAAACATGAAGCACCCAATATTTAATTCCGTCCAAATCAAGAGATAATTAGCTGTCCCTCTTAGTCTAAATGGGATACTTTCCATTGCTTACAGGGTAGACACGGTAATACCTTTTTATGCTGAACCTGATACAAAGGTGGTTTTGTGTATCCGCGTGTATAAGAAGAATTCAAATAAGAAATTAAATGACTCACCGCCATAAATCAGGTCAATTATCCCTGATTTTTCAGTCGACCAGCCGGTAATGTTGTTCATTCCAGTGCATTTATAAGTCCCTGCTTGATTTTCTTGGATATTAGGGTTACGGAGAAGGGAAGTTAAGGTATCCTCTCCATCCAGCTGCTCTGAGAAGTAAAAACCTTCAGATCCGTTGATGATTCGTTTGTTTTTTGGATTGGACCAAACTACACGAGGATGAGGCCATCCCTTGAAGGTACACTTCATTTCCATTTGTTTTGTGTCAGAATAGAAGTCAGCGGGAGAACTTGTCTTAGATACTCTCTTAACTGGAACTGAGAAGGAATTCTTCGTCTTAATTTCAAAGCTCATAAGTCATGCACCCAGTCATTTAAACATTGTAGGGAGCTTAAGTGACCAACTCGACAGCCTAAGCTCCTTTGGCCACTGCCCACATTTCACCTTTGATCAGGATTTATGTAATTTGCTGGTTTTCCTCTTCTTGTTTTTGTAATATATTTGTAATTTTTATAGCGACCTCTTGAATTAGTGGAAAAAACTATCAAAATCTGAAATGTAAAAATCTGAACCACCACGACGACAACGTCAAAACACAATTGGTTTTAACATGAAAACAACAGTTGCTGCATGTGCGTCAAGCTTCTTAGTACATTTCTTTGACGTTCACTCCAGGACTATGAAGTGAAACCTCCTAATCAAGGAATGCGACGTTTTATAGAGAAAGTGAACATACGACGCCCTTGGGTATTTTTTGGGTGGGTATGTGCCGTCCGGGACTCCAAATTGGCACCCCGTTCTAAAAAAATTTCCCCTAAAAAATTGATATCCCGTTCAAGAAATGGGCCAATTTTTTATACCCCGTTCTAGAATTCGCTCTAAGACTGATACCCCGTTCTAGAAATGGGCCATTTTTTTATACTTCGTTCTAGGATGCAACAAGAGTATAACAGTTTGCTTGTTAACGCATTGAACTGTATTTTTAAAAGTAATCTGTCCTTGAATAATTTCAAATGGCTGCTTTTTTTTTCAACTGGAGCTTTCGTGCGTTCGAAATATTATACCCCGTTCTAGAAAACGTCTCTGAAATGGATACCCCGTTCTAAACCAGGAGCTTCAAAATCACGACCCCGTTGGGCGGCACATACCCGTATAGATAATGTATGGGAGTTCCCCCCTCCCCCCACCCCCCGGGCGTTGACTGCAAGACTATGAAGTAAAACCTCCTAATCAAGGAATACGACGTTTTATAGAGAAAGTGAACATACAACGACAAATTCTCCTTTTTCTTTCTGAACCTGGATAAAGTCCTTAAGCATTCACCTGCAAGAGGAATCGTCTACATTTGACAAATTCTGCAAATTTAGCAGCTCCAAATAGACGCGATAACATTTTGAAATGAGGCAAATGTAATTTTTTAGCGACATTTTCACTGCCGTCGTCGTCGCTGCTTAGCTCACGATTTTTAAGGTAACTACAGTCATCGCTCTTACCGACACCTTTCATGTTTTACTCCATGCCATGCCTTCTTCATTTTAAATAGGCCCTTTGCAGTAAGTCACTTTTGTGGCACAAACCTGCCATGCTGGAGAACGAGGCCCTACGCACTGAGTCAAGCCAAACAAAGAGCTAACATCATTTTAAATGATTCCTTTGTTTATTGTTTGCCATGTCCCGTTGCTTTGCTTGCCTTCCAGCATGGCATGAGCAACTAGAGTTTCGCGGTGAACCATGTTCAAGTGAGGTGATTTAGCTGGCTATAATTAACTTCAACCGTTTTTACGATCAATCCAACCGTAAAAATTGCCTCAGCTAAGCTTGAATCTACCCAAACCTGTTACGAGGCATTCATAGGATGCGTTATAATCCATTTAAAAAATAAGACACACAAAAAACTGATGGGCGCATTATGATATTTTTGTCCCCATCAATGTAATACAGACAGGGCAAAAGAAGAACATACTCACTGGCGTATTTTATAGAAAAACATTCACGTGGCTGACTTCTGTTCTTTGAATCGATGTGTTGTAAGAACAGACCGGCGTCACTACTGGCATTGAGGTGTTTTTCAAGGTGCTGCCAGGTCATATCTTGTACTTTTCCCCCATTCTTAATCGAGCAGTTCAAAGTCACTTTAGAGTGTTTGGGCGTTACTGTTATCGTCTGAAAAGGCGGTTGGCATTTCTGTGCACTTATTTCACAGTCTAGGTTCCCTGTGGTTGACACATCTATCGCGTAAAAAAGGAAAGAATAAAAAGGGAAATTCTTTATTTCATCAAACATTCGCAATTTAGGCTTCCGGGAAACTGCCCACTTACCCCTCCCCTAAGCCGTCATTTTGCCGTAAGCGAGAACTAAGTGTTAATGCTAGCTTAGGGGAGGGGTAGGTGGGCAGTTTCCCAGAAGCCTAAATTGATCGAAACATTCATTAACCAACACAAACCTCTTCATGAACTCTTGACAAACCTACTACAGGGCACCCAACCAAGGTTTCCTCCTAAATACATTGAAAACATTTTTTAGGCTATCCAGAGTACTTTTACATTTCTAGAAATGCAGTAACTCTTGGCAAACCTACTATCCGAGTGAAAGTCAGTATCCCAGACCATGTATGTTTTTTGGCAGGTTATTGTTCTTTGTTAAAGTAATGGGCTTCTCAAAAGATAGCTTTGCAATGGCTGATTTGACACTCAGTCTTATCGGCAAATGATGGGAATAATTAATCCTACTGATGATTGAAAATAAGCAATGATTATTATATTAAAAGTTAATATTTGAAATATTTAATTTAAAAAGGAATCAATAATTAAATTCAAGTAGCTTTTGCAATAATGTAATACTTTGTTATAGTTTGTAGTTTTGTTTATAGTTTATAGTTTTTCGTCATGATCAGTAATAAATTATTTGGTTTCCTTAATTTCCGAGGCATCATTCACGGATGGTGTTTTAGTCAAGGCAAGAATTCACGAAACAACAAGGAATTACTAAAAAATCGTGAACCATCACATTCCTTTGATCACACATAATGTACATTTAGCCAAATTTTTGAAAACTTTCCTCAAAAAGGCCCAGAATATCCCCAGCGGTGAGAATTTTCATAGGAGACTTGCCGTCTTGGTTGGTCTCATCGTCAAGTTCAGACCCTGAGCTAACTTCCTATGGGGTGTGAACAGGCCTCCATATCTATCCCTAGGTGGAGCGTGTGCTGCAAAGTGAGTGCGATAGCGATTTCTTTGTCGGAGTGACGCTGCTCCGCCCCGATGTTGACCACTACAGAAAATACCATAACATACCATAATGCTCTTTGTTTGTCACCTCAAAATTTTACATAAGCATTGTCTTCAGTTTCTCTTGGGAGTTAAAATGGCCCCAAGAGAAACTGAAAACAATGCTTATGCAAAATTTTGGGGTGACAAACAAAGAGCATTATGGTATGTTATGGTATTTTCTGGAGTGGTCAATTGAAAGTGGATTGTGACATTTTGGATACGTTCCTGCCAGTCTCGATCTTCGTCGCAGTGTGAACAGGGTACACTGTAGAGCGGCACGTATAATCTACAATTTACCTAAGGATATGGCTTCGGAGGACCTGCTCAGTTCAGTGGCCCACCTTTTCTTTTTATTATAAGTTAGATGTCCTTAGACTTTTATAGGGCGGATAGCAAATCCTTACCTGATATAATCTATGAGAATATTGGCCAAAATCGAGTTAGCACTTTCTTAATTCGAGACCAGAACCGTCTTCTCGCACCGATGTACGAGTCAAGATACATGAAAGATTCTCTCTCATATAGAGGTGATTCGTTATGGAACTTTATTAACTAAAATGACAAGGAAGCATCTGCGACCCTGAATTTTAATCAGCTCAGGAAGCGTGTCAGCGCTGAGGATTATTTTATAGATTTCAAGTTTGAATTTTCGTCTGCATCTGCATGCTATAAGATGCAGACAACAGAATTTAATATATTACTGATCATTGTGTCCGTATGATATATAATATATAGATTTAGCCAGGGCTAAAAGCGAAGCTCCCATTAATAAATTTATAATTTAAATCAAACAATAGACTTGTATTCCACAAATCAGTTAACTTAATTAAAGGCACATTCATGTGACTTTTGAGGGAAAGGCTAAATGATTTTAGAGTTTAGAGTAAAACAAATCTTGCATCGAGTTGATAGCCTAATATGTACACCCAAAAAATAGTGTTCGGTCACATTTAAGAGCAATAATGGGTCTTGATCACAGTAGATTAAGCGTGGAAAGAAAATTCTTGGAAAACAATCAGGGCGAATTTTTTGCGTTTGACAAGTTTACCTTACAAACTCTTGCCAACAAATCTGGGTGTGTGCAAACCAACCTTCTATACTTTAAAAATACATCACATCTGAGGAGAAAGAGTACTATGAGGCGCTGTTTTTATCATACAGACCTCGTACAAAATGCAGTAGTTCACAATTTTTCAAGACAAATTGCATTCATTCAATATTCAGGACCATCAAAGCACGCGTGGACCTTTAGCGAAACCGTTCAAAAAATTTCCAAAATCAACTATCCGGTCAGCTGGTTCTAACTTTTGACAAGCGCCAAATTTGCAAAAANCATTGTCTTCAGTTTCTCTTGGGAGTTAAAATGGCCCCAAGAGAAACTGAAAACAATGCTTATGCAAAATTTTGGGGTGACAAACAAAGAGCATTATGGTATGTTATGGTATTTTCTGGAGTGGTCAATTGAAAGTGGATTGTGACATTTTGGATACGTTCCTGCCAGTCTCGATCTTCGTCGCAGTGTGAACAGGGTACACTGTAGAGCGGCACGTATAATCTACAATTTACCTAAGGATATGGCTTCGGAGGACCTGCTCAGTTCAGTGGCCCACCTTTTCTTTTTATTATAAGTTAGATGTCCTTAGACTTTTATAGGGCGGATAGCAAATCCTTACCTGATATAATCTATGAGAATATTGGCCAAAATCGAGTTAGCACTTTCTTAATTCGAGACCAGAACCGTCTTCTCGCACCGATGTACGAGTCAAGATACATGAAAGATTCTCTCTCATATAGAGGTGATTCGTTATGGAACTTTATTAACTAAAATGACAAGGAAGCATCTGCGACCCTGAATTTTAATCAGCTCAGGAAGCGTGTCAGCGCTGAGGATTATTTTATAGATTTCAAGTTTGAATTTTCGTCTGCATCTGCATGCTATAAGATGCAGACAACAGAATTTAATATATTACTGATCATTGTGTCCGTATGATATATAATATATAGATTTAGCCAGGGCTAAAAGCGAAGCTCCCATTAATAAATTTATAATTTAAATCAAACAATAGACTTGTATTCCACAAATCAGTTAACTTAATTAAAGGCACATTCATGTGACTTTTGAGGGAAAGGCTAAATGATTTTAGAGTTTAGAGTAAAACAAATCTTGCATCGAGTTGATAGCCTAATATGTACACCCAAAAAATAGTGTTCGGTCACATTTAAGAGCAATAATGGGTCTTGATCACAGTAGATTAAGCGTGGAAAGAAAATTCTTGGAAAACAATCAGGGCGAATTTTTTGCGTTTGACAAGTTTACCTTACAAACTCTTGCCAACAAATCTGGGTGTGTGCAAACCAACCTTCTATACTTTAAAAATACATCACATCTGAGGAGAAAGAGTACTATGAGGCGCTGTTTTTATCATACAGACCTCGTACAAAATGCAGTAGTTCACAATTTTTCAAGACAAATTGCATTCATTCAATATTCAGGACCATCAAAGCACGCGTGGACCTTTAGCGAAACCGTTCAAAAAATTTCCAAAATCAACTATCCGGTCAGCTGGTTCTAACTTTTGACAAGCGCCAAATTTGCAAAAAAATTTTAAAAGAGTTACGCTTCCACATGATAGAAGGATTTATTGTGTTTATTTTTTGTTAATGGTTTTATAACGATGAGTAATCTTAAAAAGCGTTTGATACGAGCGGGATTTTGAGTACTCCGGCAAGCGATGTTCATGAACGACTGAAAACAAACGGCAAAGCGATGAAAATTGCACTTTTGAGACTACTAACAATATAATCAATAAAGAAATATAATTAGGTAGAACATTTACTGAGAGACAACAATTTTCATTTACGAAAACAAATGAGTATTTAAATGTGTCTCTAAGAATCCTGAGTCTTTAAGCTTAAAGATTAAGTTTATGTTTTAAGCCGCCGGCTTCCCGGTGTTTGCTGTTTTCAAAGATGAACTCGCGATAAGAAAATGGCTCAAAGCGTTTTTTCTGCAGCCAGAATTATAACTAAATGTTCTTCGGAAAGTTTTTTCTTTCTATTCGCGGTGAAATATCGACTAAAGGCTTCTTAAAGTTCTGTAAGCTTATATCAAACCTATGGCAGATTAGTGTCTCAAATACAAACGTGCATAAACTAGCTTCATAACCGGCGCTCGACCTCATGAAATTAGATATAAATACAATAATTTCTCAGGCTTACCATATTTCGAGATGCAGCTCCTGCAAGCTATCAAGTAAGGACAGGATCGCTTGAGCCTATATAATTCTCTTACGCATCCAGCAAGGTGAAAAACAAAAACAATGCCATCCGACTTTGACAAGTTGCGCATTTCTCAACCAAAAATACAATAAACAAACCAGCCATGAATAACAGAAGACTCTTGATACCAGCTGTATTTCATTTTGTACATCCAATGGAAAAAGACAGTTAAAAACATCACAAGTTGACACAAAACTCTGTCAAAGTAAACAAGTCGTAATATGCTGCATAAATTTTCCCCATGAACTCACGTGTCAAATTTTTACCAATCATAGCATAAAAATTGGACGTGAAGCGCGAGCGTGACCAACGTGTGACTATGGTGAGAAAAGTGAAAAGAATCTGTCTTCCCTGCTTTCATTTTTAAGTAATTGGCTGGATTTTCGCGTCCGAGGTCAGTTTGAAATCAAAATGTTAATAGTGCTAGGCCATAGTGACATAAACACAACATATTTCATATAAATTTAAAAAAGGAGCCTGCGATCGTTTGAAAACTAGTAAGCCCTGAGCCCGTGATACGGTCAGGTGATACTGGTCACCGGATACCTTGTTTTGACAGCTGTCAATTGATCACAACATTGATGTGCAATCAGTGGGCTCCCAAAGAAACGAGAATGTGTGAGAGTAAACATTGGTATGCCTGTGGACGGTCTCTCTGGCGGGCGGGCGGTCAGTCTGTGT